TTAACACCGCAGATGCCGACCCAATCGACTTCACTGCTACAGTAGAAGCGATGTTGGAGAGGACGGAGGCAACTGACGACACGAAACATTCAGTACGAGAACGTGTAACCTCCTTGCTTATGGCTCATAAACCAACGAGGTGCATTTCGCAAAGTGAGTCAGAAGCCATGAACAAACGGAGGAAAGAAGACAGCATTATCTTCTTACTTGTTAATAAGGGACGGTCGACTGTCGTGATGAATCGACAAGACTACAATGACAAAGCGAAGACTCTTCTTGACGACAGAGTTTTACCGACCAACACTGAACTCGCAAGCCAAAGCAGTATCCGACCAACTGCCTAAACTACTTAGAGAATACCGGTGCAAGAACGTGATCACGGCGAATGAGTGGCGCCAAATGAAAGTAACGGATACTGCTCCGGCTCGATTCTATTGACTGCCAAAAATCCACAAACCGAATGTCCCACTTCGGCCAATCGTTGTCCTTAAAGGCAGCCTTACTTATAACTTGGCAAAGTAGATGTATAGAAAACTGAAATTCCTCCAAGACAACTCGACTACCTCAGTTCAATCAGCCTCTGAATTCTTCGAGGACCTCCGAGGTCGGACGATTCAGTCGGACGAAATCATGGTCTTTTTCGATGTGACTTCGTTGTTCACATTCATACCGCCAAATCTGGCGCACGAAATTTTGCACAAGAGACTTGAAGAGGCATACAATTAGGCCCGAGGCCCACTCAAAATTGAACATAACATGCATGAGGTTATTCAATTTCTACCAAAAAAACATACTTTACTTTTGCCGGAGAAACCTACGAACAGATCAAAGGCACTCCGATGGGGTCCCTGATCTCACTGGTTTAGTGGCAGAACTGGTCCCGCGAGAGCTAGAAAACACCGCCTTTACCCAACACAAGCCAGTCTTTTGGCGTCGTTACGTAGACTACACGTTTATCATCACCAAGAAAAGCATGCTGCAAAACTTCCATAAGTTGCTCAATGGAATCTCTTTTCTGACATACAATTGACGAGGAAAAAGAAAGAGCAGCAACTGTCTTTTCTTGATGTCCTCGTCAAGAGAACGCCCAATGGTGAAATCGAGACGACGGTTTACAGGAAGGCAATGAACACAGCACAACTTCTCAGTTTTCACAGTAACCATCCAGTTGCTCACAGACGGAGCTGTGTAAAAACTCTTCACACGGATTCAGTCTCACTGCAGTAAGTCGGAAGAAAAGGTACGCGAGGCCCGATATCTCCGCGACCAATTCATGCGGGACGTCGATCCAAAAGCGTTTTTAAACCAATGCCTACGCGTTCGGCCCCGGAGGACCCAAACAAAAGAACCACCAAGGATACGGCACGCTCTGCCATAAATAAAGGACGTCTTAGAAGCGACTGATCACATCGCTGCGGGACTAGATGTTAGAATTGTACACAGACCCAAAACTACCATGCGCAGCAGGGTGATGAATATAAAAGAGTAGTGTATCGCATCCCATGCCTCAGCTGTCCCTGTAATTACACAGGCCAAACTGAACGCATGCTCGGATCGAGCATACATGAACGCCAGTTGGCCGGTCGACAAGGCGACGAATTATCAAAAGTTGCAGCTCACACCTACGAAACAGACCATGAGTTCAACTTCGCTGCGGTCAACGTACTCGCACACGCGGGTAACAAGATGAGCAAAGAATTTATGGAAGTCTTGTCCACGGACGAGAATTCTGTCAACAGATGTGTCGAATTGGCGCCGGCGTAC